ACACTTTGCCTAGTTTTGAAAAAAATGAATGTTTGGCCAGGCAGTGGTGGCGCACACCTTTAATCCCAACACTTGGGAGGCAGAGGCAGGTGGATCTCTGTGAGTTCGAGGCCAGCCTGATCTACAGAGTGATTTCCAGGACAGGCTCCAAAGCTACATAGAAACCTTGTCTTGGCAGGGGAAAAAAAAGATTGGGGCCGGAGAGACACTCAGTGATTAAGAACACTGATTGATCTTCCAGAGGACACAGATTTGATTACAGGCACCCACATGGCAGCTCACAGCTTTCCATAAACTTCAGTTTCAGGGGACCCAGTGCCCTCTTCTGTCCTCTGCAGGCATCAGGAACTTATGTAATACACAAATATACATACAAGCAAAACACTCATACAATAATAAATATACAAAATAAAAATACATGCATACAAATACATACAAAATAAAAATAAGTTTAAAAAGGTAAAAAAAATGAATGTTTATTCTGATTTGGAAATCAGGAAGGCCAGTGTGGCTTTATTGAATGACTGATGAATTAAAAACAATAGGTTAGCATGTTAAGTTATAAATGAAGTGTGGATTTATTGTAATACCAAATAATCTGTTATAACAAATCTTTGTTTTTATATAGTTTATTTAAGAGACGTTAGCCTGCATATATTTTTCTGTCATTAAAGCCAAATTCAGAAGGCTGAGATCACTGTGGAGTTCATTCATAGTGCTCCCCAGGTGCCAGAGTTCATTTCTTAGGTTTAGTTTTTCTGACTGTAAGCCAATACGGTAAATTCAAAACTTCACTTTGAGTGTGCTTCAGAAAAGGGGGTCCCTCTGTCAAGGCCTGACTGGAGTGAAAGTGGCTTGGACTCTGGGGTATCAGATGGTGAGGAGCTGGTGTCCGCGTGGTGCTCATGTGTTTTGTTGACTGCTCTCAGGTACGATGAAATGAGCATCCTCTTCATGGTTCTGGTCACCGAGACTACTTTGGAACGTGGGTTAGTCCAGCTGAGAAGTCGAGACACCACGATGAAGGAAATGGTGCACATATCCAAACTGAAGGACTTTCTCATCAAGTACCTAGCGTCGGCCACCAAAGTGTAGGTCTGCATAGTTCTGTAATAAATACTCTTTTTGTTAGCTTATATTGATATGGTTTTGACCGTTTTGTATTTATAAAGTAGACATTTTTGTCTCTTTTCTTTGATTTGGTTTTTATTATCCTTTTGATATGGCCTATTATGAAAACATAAATCCTAATCTGCCAAATAAGCAAGATCAGGTTGGGCTGCATGGTGAGACCTTGTCTCAATAATTAAAAAGAAAAGAAAAAATCCTGAGGCTGGACGTGCTCATTCCTGTAATCCGAACACTTGGGAGTCTGGACAGAAGGCTTGTTGAGCGTCCTAGGCCAGTCTAGGCTCAGAGTGAGACTTCATCTCCAAAACAAGCAAACGAATGAGAAGGTTGTTGAGGTGGCTCAGGAGGGAGAGGCACTTGCCATCACGTCGGAAGAATTTGATACCCTGTGTATATGGTGGAAGGTGAGAACCAAATCCTCCAAATGTGAACCATGGCAAGTGAACCCCGTTTTGGGGGTTTGTGGGGGGGTTTTTTTGAGACAGTTTCTCCGTAGCTTTGGAGCCTGTCCTAGAACTCACTCTGTAGACCAGGTTGTCCTCAAACATAGAGCTCGGTCTGCCTCTGCCTCCCAAGTACTGGTATTAAAGACATGTGCCACCACCGCCTGGCCCAAAATCAATTTATTAAGAAACAAAATAAAAGGAAATCAAGAGGTTGGAAAGTCCAAAGCTAGCGTAACAGTAGTTGGGGACTCGGGTGCGTCCTGTCTTCCTGTTCTGCTATTTTACTTGCAGGGTTCGTTCTGGCTTGGGGGAATAGGATCTCAGTAATCCAGGCTGGTCTGCATCTTGACCTGTAGTCCATGAAGACCTTAAACTCCTGATCCTCCTGTAATCTCACCTCCCTAGTGCTGGGGATTACAGGTGTACACTACCACACCCAGTTTAGGTAGTGCTGGGGATTGAACCCAAGGCTTTGCACATGCTAAACAAATACTCTACCAGCCTAGCTATGTCCCCAACTCCCAACTGTAGGTATTCTGTTAGAATGGAAATGCAGCACTGTTTTTGCAATATCCTTCTTGTTCCTAATACTGAGAATTGAGGGGCTGAGAGATGGCTCAGAGGTTAAGAGCACTGTGTTCTCCCAGAAGTCCCGAGTTCAATTCCCAGCAACCACATGGTGGCTCACAACCATCTCTAATGAGATCCGGTACCCTCTTCTGGCCTGCAGGGATACATGCAGGCAGATGCTGTATACATAATTAATAAATAAATCTTTTAAAAAAGAAATGCTGAGAATTGAATCTAGGACCTGACATCCTCCTGTTTGAGCCTCCCAAGATGATTGGTGTGAGCCACCATGCCCAGCTCGTGTGTGTGTGTGTGTGTGTGTGTGTGTGTGTGTGTGTACACAAATGCAGGTACACGTGTGTACCAGGAAATCCGAAGGATCCTCCTGTGTCTACTTTCCTGGTGCTAAGATTACAGCTGTATGACAGAGAGCCTGGCTTTTAGTGGGTGTTGTTGTTTTTATCTACGTTCTCTTTACCAATAAATACTCAGGAGTTTGATATTGGGGTGAAAACCTGCTAGATCAGAGAAACCGAGAAGCAACCAGGTGACTTTCCTTTTTGGCTGAAGACCCAGCAAGAAAATGTCTCCACACTGTCCCAAACCAAAAAGGACCACAAATCTCTTCAGTCCCTCCCTACTCCTTTCTCTGTGTGTCTCTCTCCATCTTAACAGGTCCTCCGTACTCTCTGTGGCTAATTCTTGTCAACTAGTTGCTGCCTCTGCCCCCTGATCCAAGGTTAATTTTTTTAATCGTCTCAGTTTCACAGTCTGAGACTATTTCACAGTCTGATCAAATATCCCGCAACATTTCCCACTTTTGTTTAAATAAAAAAGTTTTTAACTCTTAACACAGTAAAAGTATATACAAAAAGAACAATTATCAGGTATTGTCCAAATAAAAAGGTTTCAACTCTAACACAGTAAAACCATACAGCAAGAACAGTTATCAGGCAAGAAGTACATTCACAATGTACAGTCCATTTGTATTTGGAAAATTTGGAGGAAGTGCTCTGTTATCCATCCTATCTTGGTGAATCCAATGTTTTATACCTAAACCACTTTCTATCATAATTTGTATTATATTACAAACCTAAAAATATCTTTTTAGGTCTTAAAACATTGTCTTAGATAAACAACTTAATTTTTTATGTTTCTTAACCTTATACACTTTACATTTTTTGTAAGTTTCTTTTCTGAATTAGGTAACAAGAAAAACTTTTATCTAGTCTTCAATTCCCATCAGAGACCTGAAAAGAATATAATTTTAACTGAGTAAACAGGAAGTACAAAGCAAGCAACCTCCAAAACTACAGAAATGACAGGGACAGCTGGCTGCCTGGACAGTCACCCAAGGTTCCTCTGTAACGTTAGGGCATTCATCTTTGTCCTACAACTAGAATGTCTGACAGACTTTTCTGTGAAGCAGGATTTTTGAAGGACCGGCCTGACTTGTCTTGGCAGAGTTCAGCAGTCACCTCCTTTGTGTCCTGCGTGTCCACCTTGGACAGCGTACAGTCAGCAGTCGAGGGCAGTTTCTTGCCCAGTGGCTAGCTTTGCCATATTGAAAGCAAGCCCCATATGGAGGTTCTTCGATGCCCACCATCTTTTTTTTTTGGTTTTGGAGCCTGTCCTGGCACTAGCTCTTGTAGACCAGGCTGGTCTCGAACTCACAGAGATCCGCCTGCCTCTGCCTCCCAAGTGCTGGGATTAAAGGCGTGCGCCACCACCGCCCGGCCCAGTAAATTACTGTTTTGTTTCTGAAATTGAAGTAAACTTTGTTTTTTGTTTGGTTGTTTGGTTGGTTGGTTTTGGTTTTTTGAGACAGGGTTTTTCAGTAGCTATGGAGCCTGTCCTGAAACTCACTGTTTATCACAGAAGACTGAATCTTCTTCCCAGAATTCTGTTCTCATCACCCTGCCTATATTTCCTGCCTGGTTGCTCCGCCTATACTTCCTGCCTGGCTACTGGTCTATCAGCGTCTTATTAAAATACAATTGACAGGGTACAGACCATTGTCCTACAGCATGTGGATAAGTCTGAAGGGTATTTTTTTTTCTGTCTGTTATTTTTTCAAGACAGGATTTCTCTGTGTAGCCTTGGCTGTCCTGGAACTCTCTCTGTAGGCCAGATTGGCCTTGAACTCTGCCTCCTGAGTGCCACACAGGCCACCGCCCAACTTAAAGGGTATTTTCTTGATTAACGATTAATGTGGGAGGGCCCATCACACTGTGGGAGGTGCCACCCCTTGGCAGGTGGTCCTGGGTTGTGTGGAAAAGCAGTCTGAGCAAGCTTGCCATTAGCAGCATTCTTCCGGGTCCTTGGCTTCAGTTCCTGCTTTGAGCTCCAGCCCTGGCCTCCCCACCACTATGATGGATGTAACCTGTAAGTTTTTAAACATACCCCAAGTCCTTTGGATCCACATACCACTGTGAAAGACCTGACCAGGTCATTTCTGGGAAGGTTGTGGAACTTTGGGCTAGAAAAACCACCCAGCGCTTAGAGCTTGGTGAACGGTTCTGTGGGGGCTTGGGAGCTGATGCTGAACCGCCTGACTTGTGAGGGTTCTGAGGGATTACAGGTGTGCACCATCACGGCCAGCTTCCAACTTGGCGGTCACTTTAAACAATCCTGGCTCCAGTTTGAATCCTCAGTCTCGGGGAGGATCCCACATGCTCAAGAGTGGTAGATTCCCCTCCATTACAACACATCCTGTTGGTTCGAGTCTTACGTGAGGTTGCCCCTGTCTGTAGCCCCCACCCAGCCCTCAACTGCTCCTTGAAAATGTTTTAGTAGTGACCCTGAATCCTCTTGGGAGTTTTTTTATTTTTTTTTTAATTTTTCTTTTAATTTCGTGCATGTGAGGGGTGTATGCACACGTGGGCACAGGTGCCCTTGGAGGCCAGGTGCTGAAGTTACAGGCGGTCGTGAGCTGCCTGACTTGAGCGTGGGAAGTGGACGCAGGTCCTCTGGGAGGGACAAGTCATCTCTCCAGCCTGTCTTGGAAGTATTTAGAAGACAGTCTCTACCTTGTCTTTTTCTCCTCCAGCCTCAGCACCTGACATATTTGTGGGAGCTGTTATTGGTTACTGTTGACTTTCTGGGCACCTGGGGTCCCCATATCCCAGATACAAAGTCCCTGCTCACAGTGATGTCGCAGGGACTCTTGTCTCATTCCAAAAGCATCTCTTGTCCCCATCATGGCTCACCTTGTTCCCTGGGTACCACCTCCTTGAAGACTGGAGTGGCATAGTGTAGCTCCTGGGGTTGTCCTGCCTCTGAGCAAAAACAAAGAGAACCAAAAAAGAAAAACAGTGCATAGCGTCACTAAGCTGATTCTTGAATCCTCCAACCGTGTGGTGGGGGCGCCAAGAGAGAACACTTTCCTTTGCGGGGGTGGGAACGTGTTGCTGTCCCTCCAAGTCGGATCCATGCTCCTGCCTGGCAAGATGGGAATGGCAGAGAATGGGAGCTGGTGCTGGTGTGTCAGGGCTTGCACAGTGCTCAGAGCGCGACCGGGACCAGTTGAGCTGCCCAGGACGGAGCCCATAGCTAGGCCCTTCCACCACAAAGCATCCAACGTGCAGTGTCCGATCTGATAAGCGGCTAAATATTGTACGGTGTGGTGACTCTAGCTAGTCATTAAGTACTACCCTCTTGAAGACGGTGGAGGACCAGTTTTATGCTCTCTCACTTACTCCAGCACTCGGCTGCCATGTGTGGAGCCCTGGGTTTGATTCTAAGCATCGCAAGAAGCAAATAAGCAAGCAAACAAAAATGAGACGTGCTTGCTCCTGCAGCATGCAGACTGAAATAGATACAGAAAAGGTTATTGTGGCCTCTGGGCAGGGATGACATGCAGTTTAAGTCGCATTTGTAATCCTAGGACTAGGATGAAGCAGGAGGATTGTCATGAGTTTGAGGTCATCCTTTGCTGCATAGCGAGTTCAAAGTCAGCCTAGACTAGATGCTAATAAAAAAGTGAACAAGCAAACAGAAAAAAAAATCTGCTCCCAAATAACCAAGTTGCACATAATAAACATATATAGTTTTTATTTGTTATTAAAATAGATGTTTTTAAAGATCAACTTGGACATAGTATCACATGTTTGTGATTCCAGCGCCCTCAAGAGGCTGAGGCAGGAGGATTGCAAGCTTGAAGCCAGGCTGGGCTACATAACAAGGCAGTCACAAAACAAAACATATTAACAACAAAAACTTTTTTAAAAAGATGATCATAGCTGGGCAGTGGTGGTGCACGTTTTTAATCCCAGCACTCGGGAGGCAGAGGCAGGTGGATCTCTGAGTTTGAGGCCAGCCTGGTTTACACAGCAAGTTCTAAGACAGCAAAGGCTACACAGAGAAATCTTATCTTGAAAACAAAAAAACAAAAATATGATCATCAAAGACTTTGGGATACAGCATGGGTCATCCCAAGCTAATATAAAGTCATCTGTAAGTATATTAAAAGGAATCGAGGCTAGAATGGCTGACTGGTGACATGCCACATCTGGCCATCTGGAGAGGAAGATGGGAGATGGAGGGCAGAGGTGGGAGGGAGCTGGGATACTCTGTTACTTTCCTTCCCCCCCTTTTTTTTTAACCCATCTTTCTAGAGAATCTTTTTAAAAACTTTTTTTTTTCATAACCAGAATTGTGTAGAGTACTTGTCTAGCATATGTGACCCCTTGGGTTTGAGTTTCAGCACCATACCATATATACATATTATACTATATATGTACACAGTCACCCCAAACCAACCAAACTCATCCAAACAGCATACCATATATACATATTATACTATACCAGTACACAGTCACCCCAAACCAGCCAACCAAACTCATCAAAATAGCCGGCCAGGCTCCTAACCTGTCTGAGTCTCACAGACGTTTGCATACAGCTCGCCTTGCGTGACTGCATCTCCAGAACTCTTGGACTCGCTCGCTCTCTGAGCTTTTCCTGACCAAAAAAAAAAAAAAAAAAAAAAAAAAAAAGACAGAGGTGTCACATTTAACCAGTTTAGACATTTTTCCTGTCTTCTCTGCCAAGGTGCAGAATTTCCCGTGATTCTAAGAGGCATGCTTCAGTGCTGGCCTGAAGTAAGGACGAACACAGCCACAGATCTGTGTGGGACAGCCACTCCTCTGCCCCAGGGCCTCCTGACCAGGCCTGTCTTAGCCTACAGATGTTTTCTCTCCTTCCTGAGAAGAACAGTTGGTAAGGAGCCTTAAGTCACCTTCCAGAGATGAGTGATGCTGCTAAGTTCTGTCAGCAGAAATTTTTTAAGACAGGGTTCCTCTGTGTAGCCCTGGAACTTGCTTTGTAGACCAGGCGGGCCTTGAACTCTGAGACCCCCTGTCTCTGCCTCCCGAGAGCTGGGAATCTTAATGCCACTTTGACAATGGTTTTGTTTGCAGAAAAGGGAGATGTTCTGGAGATGTTTGAGGAGCTGTGTTAAGTAGGGCACCCACTTTCAAGGGTTTTTAGGGCATGCGAGTTCAGCAAGGACTGTACTACTGACCTGTCCCAGGGGCTTTTCAACTATTGTATCAATGGAGTGCCTGCCCTCTGTGACCTTTGTCCCTGTAGAGATGGAGGGAGGCACAGGGCCTGACATCTGTGAATGAGTCTTACTAATTCAGAGTTTCTCCATAGCCCTGTTCCACAGACCAGAAGGCTGAGACCCAGAGAGGCAAAGGCACCAGGTACCCAACAGCCCTCTGCTTGGAGCCTTCTGTGCTGAGACACAGTGCTGTTTTGTGTAAATCTAGCTTTCTCCACGTGTGTGTGACCAGGGAAGGGGCCACTGTGAAATCTTTACCAGAGAAGGGCTTAGAGGTAAATAGGGAACGGGAAAGGCTCCTAACTGAATTGTGAAGAAAGGGTTTCTTTCCTTCTTTTTCTTTTCTTTTCTTTTCTTTTCTTTTCTTTTCTTTTCTTTTCTTTTCTCTTAGACAGGGTTTCTCTGTAGCTTTGGAGCCTGTCCTGGAACTCCCTCTGTAGACCAGGCTGGCCTCGAACTCACTGAGATCCACCTGCCTTTGCCTCCTGAGTACTGAGATTAAAGGCGTGCGCCACCACTGCCCAGCTGGTGAAAGGTTTCTTGTTGCTGTCATGCCTCAAGTGGGAAGAGAGAGAGAGGTCCCCATCCAATGCCACACCCCGAGCTTCCTGAAGGAGGCTGAGAGAGTAGAGGCTCCACCCTTTGAAGGGCTTCTTCTCGGGACCACCTCTATGATACACAGTGAGCTTCAGGAGTCTCTCGCTGTGAACAATGGCGGCCACACACGCATGCCCAGGTGCACAGAAGTACTGTTTATCACTGCCAGAAGATGCACGCCACCCAAGCATGGGATGCAGGGGTAGGAAGATGACATTAGGTGTGCACACAGATCAGAGTGTTCCCCAGCCTAAGAGGAAAGAATTCTGCTATGCACAGGAGCCACACACCAAAGGACAGTCCCTGGGGATGGGGCACAGTTGGTAGAGTCCTTGCCTAGCAAGCAGGCTCATTCTGCACACCTGCAACCCACCCACTCAGGAGGACCAGAAGTTCAAGGCTGTCCTCAACTACGCGGTAAGTTTGAGGACAGCCTGGGGAATAGAGGAGACCTTGTCACAAAATAAGACAGGCAGCTGCTGCAGAATGCCGCTGGAACCAATAGTTAGAGCTGTAGCGACAGAACACAGAAAGGTGGCTACCGGGCAGGGGAGACAGAGTGAGGGACTGTCTCGGGGCACTGGGTTCCAGCAAGGGAAGCTGACAAGGGTGTGGGGTCACTGATGGTCTCACAGCAGAGTAAAGGTCTGGATGCCACCAACAAGCACACCTGAGGTGCTGAGGCGTGATTCCGTGTAGAGCTCCGGTTTAGCACATGGCGTTCCGTTAAAAAGAAAGATAGGGGAGTAAAATTGCAAATTTCATTGTGTCCGACGCCCTGGGTTTCATTCCTACTGTCAAATAAATTGAATGGAGGGGCCTGTGCTTGTAATCCCAGCACTGGACTACAGTGGGGATCAGAAGTCACAGTGAGTTCAAGGCCAGCCTGGGCTACAAGACCCAGTCTCAAAGGAAAAAAAGTATAAATTGGGAGTAGTGGTGCATGCCTATAAGCTCAGCATTCCTAAGCTGAGATAGGAGCATCATTGTGAGTTCAAAGCCAACCAGGCATACATAGAAAGATCCAATCACAAAATAAAAGTACAAATATTATTAATAATTTAGAGACAGTAGCTGCAGCTGCAGAATTCTAATTCAGTCATTGGGGATTGGGGGCATAGGGCTGTGTGTAAGCTGTATCCAGGCAAGGTTGGCTCTCCAGACAACCCCCATCAGAAGGGCCTCACTGAGGACTTGAAGGTCAAGCCCTGTGAGCTCATGAAATCTGTCTCTTCACCTCTTCATTTCTCATCTCTTATTTTTGCTTGGTTTTTCAAGATAGGGTTTCTCTGTAGCCTACAGAGTCATAGAACTCACTATGTAGACCAGGCTGGCCTCAAATCTGGACATCTGCCTGACTCAGCCTTCTCTGTGTTGGGATTAAAGGTGTGCACCACCACCTGGCTTTGTCTCATCTCTTTCTAAATTTTTTTTAATATTTATTTATTTATTTATTATGGATACAATATTCTGTGTGTATGCCTGAAGGCCAGAAGAGGGTGCCAGATCTCATTACAGATGGTTGTGAGCCACCATGTGGTTGCTGGGAATTGAACTCAGGACCTTTAGAAGAGCAGGCAATGCTCTTTACCACTGAGCCATCTCTCCAGCCCCCTCTTTCTAAATTTTTTTTTAAAAAATTACATTTATTTACTTGCTAGTGTGTGGTTATAGGCACAGCGCACAGCACTGTGGAAGTCAGAGGACAACTCACTGGAGTCAGTTTTCCCCTTCCATCCTGTGGGCTCCAGGGATCGAGCCCTCCTCTTTTTTTTCTCCCTACTCCATGTCTCCCAGCCAGGTCCTAACCAGGCCCACTTTCCAACCATCTGAGATCAGAAGACCATAGTTTCACTGCTCCACTTTTTTTAATCTAAGTATTCGTTTTAAATTTTTAATTCTTTTATGTGCATAAGTATTTTGCCTGCCATGTATGGACACCCTGTGTGTGCCCAGTGCCCACCACGGGTCAGGAGAGGGCACCTGATCCCCTGAAACCGGAGTTACAAGGGCTCGTCGTGCTACACCATGGGTGCTCCCAGCTGCGGAGCCATCTCTCCAGCCCCTCCCTGCTCCATTTCTGACTCGGCCCCTTCTCCCTCTGCCCCGCTGAGTCTGAACCTCACAGGACCATACCAGGGAGAACTCACCTCTTTTGTACTTTGTTCGAATGAAGAAAACCAGAACTAGGATTATTACCAGCAGCCCCAGTAACGCTGCAGGCAGCAGCCGTGACAGCAGACATGAAGGGCAGCTCTCTTCTGTAAGAAAACAGCGTGCGCAGGTCACCACTGGCTACAACACCGACCTGCCAAGGGCGCTAGGAAAGGCCGCCATGGCTGTCTCCTGAGTTAACCAGTACACTCTGTACCTCACGAGAGTTCCCATGCTGGGCCGCGAAGTTCTTAAAGTCATATCCTCATTCTCCCTCCCCCACGGGCACATCACAGAGTGGCCTAGCTCTTCATGCCTGGGTTCCTCACAGCGCAGTAAGTAAGGACAGGCACAAGTCCCACGTATTAGGTGTTACATGCAGCATGGAGTTAGATTGGTCTGGGGCTGGCGGAATGACTCAGGAGGGTAAAGTGCTGCCAGGCAAGCCGGAGGACCTGAATTTGATCCCTGGAACCCACACTGAGGAAGCATAGAGCATCCCCATCAAAACTGTCCGCTGACATCCACGTAATGCCGCATGCACAGGTGTGCATGCACACATAACAAATAAAATCAGTTTAGACCTGTTCCCATCTGACAGACCAGGACAGCTGCCAGGTCTATAAGGATAAAAGTGGGCACTCAAACAATATCCGAGTACTCCATCCATGCACACAGATCAACCCCTTACTCCAGCTCACTGGCCTCGAGGCTAACGACCTGCTGAGGAGCCACACACACCTGGGGACCAGACAAGCACCTAGCCTGACTAACCGCGCATGCGCAGTGTGGCCCAAGCCAAGCGCTGAGGAATTAGAGGGTGGAGCAAGGTCGCCTCTTAGCTCAGACTTCATTTTGTCTTGTCTTGAACTTGCTATGTAGCCGAGACTAGCTTAAACTCCTGACTCTCCTGCTTCCAATTCCCAAATGCTGAGATTACAGGTGTATAACACACCTGGCTATTTGTTTGTTATTGTTTTGGTTTTTCAAGACATGGCTTCTCTGTGTAGCCCTGACTGTCCTGGGACTCGCTCTTACAGAAGAGGCTGCCCTCGAACTCGGATTCACCTACCTCAGCCTCCTGAGTGCTGGGATTAAAGGAGTGTGCCACCACCACCTAGCCAGTTTGTTCATTCTTGAGAATGACTGCAATCAAAATTTATTTAGGGTGTATACATACATACACTTACATGTGCATATAGACGCCAAAAGACAACCTATGGGAGTCGGTTCTTTCCACTATGTGGGTCCCAGGGGTCACACTGAACCGGGCAGACGTGGTGCCAAGCACCTCCACTCACGGAGCCATGGGCATGTGCCAACAGTCCAGTCCCAAGTATACGATGGAAGGTCCACTTTGTTCTAAACCAAAAGTATCACACTTCTATGCTTCCATTTATAGGATTCAGTTATACAAGTATTTTTACTTCCTCCAAAAAGCAGAAGTGGCCCTGCTAAATTTATTCAAGGGAAACTCAAAACAGGAAATACAGGGCTCTGGTCTGCTGTCAACCCCTACTCTTTTCTTTCTACAGTTTGGTGTTTTTTTTTTTTAAATAGATTTCTTTAGATCTATCTATCATCTATCTATCTATCTATCTATCTATCTATCTATCTATCTATCTATCTTTGCTTTTTGAGATAGGGTCTCTTTCTGTAGTCCTGGCTGTCCTGAAACTCCATACGAGTCATCCTTGGCTACTTAAGTGAGTATAAAGTTAGCCTTGGCTACGTAAATGAGTATAAAGCTAGCCTTGGCTACGCAAGAGCCTGCTTCCAAAGGAAGAAGGAAAGGCCCAAGGTCACGGTCCTGACAAATGCAGACTGGACGCAGAGCCCTGACCCCCACTACTCCAGACCCCTGCAAACTTGACACCCTGTGTCTGAAGTTTCCCCTGGGCTGGCCTGCTTCTCTGACCTTCAACCACCTCGAACTAGCTCGGTCCCTATCCCAAGCTGGAGCCCTGAACGCCCCGAGAACATCAACCAGAGCCCTCTTTTCCCAGTCTCCCCTCATAGCCAGCTCCTTCTCATTCTCCCAGCCCCTCGGACAGGCCCTTCCGCCTCGCCTAGGTGGGCCCTCCACCAGACCTTGCCTTTCCCCACGCTGTGCCAGTGTCCTTAACAACAGCCCGCACAGTTTCCGAGTCGTTTGTCTGGGTTTTGTGTCCTTCCCCCTAGACCAGAGGCTCCATGAGGGCAGGAACCACCCAACCAGAGTCAGGGTGTGGTTCATCCAAGTTCTCGAGCCTTAGGTGACAAGTGAATCCCAGAGGGAGAAGCCTGTGCTTATGGCTCCAGCCATCAGTCCTGATGGGGCTCAGGGAATTACCATGGTTTAGGTACCACTGATGTCCTGGAAGCCATTTAGCTTCAACAAACAGCAGCCTGCACCAAGTGAGCCATCGATAGAGAAGTACCTGTGAGACTTCACTGAAGATGGTCATGTTTTATAATCCAGCAACAGTTTGATGGGACAGAATGTCACTCGAAAAAACCGCAGGACCTGGGCGGTGGTGGCACACGCCTTTAATCCCAGCACTCGGAAGGAAAAGGCAGGCGGATCTCTGTGAGTTCAAGGCCAGCCTGGTCTACAAGAGCTAGTTCAGGACAGGCTCCAAAGCTACAGAGAAACTTTGTCTCAAAAAAGCCAAAACAAGGGCTGGAGAGATGGCTCAGTGGTTATAAGCGCATTGCCTGCTCTTCCAAAGGTCCTGAGTTCAATTCCCAGCAACCACCTGGTGGCTCACAACCATCTGTAAAGAGGTCTGGCGCCCTCTTCTGGCCTTCAGGCATATACACAGACAGAATATTGTATACATAGTAAATAAATATTTTTATAAAAGCCAAAACAAAACAAAAAAGGAGGGCTATGTGCAGAGAATGCGCGTTTGGCGGCCTTACCATGCAGGGTAGAGGACTCTGTTAAATCACTGTGTGCCACACCTCCAGGTCTGTGTCAGTTTCCTCCTCCCTCTCCATCCTATGACAGCCACAATTGCCACTTTCATTATTCCTGCTGCCTCCCACCTGGAGCCCATAGCATGAGACGCTTGTAAAAACCTATACCTCTGGCCGTGCTGGCAAAGAGCGGTGTCACCTTGATCAGATCTAGAATCCCCTAGGACTTGAATTTCTGGGCAAGTCATGAGGGATTATATAGATTAGGTTAACTGAGGTGCACAGATCCACCCTAGGCATGGGTGGTGCCATCCCATGGGAAAAGTCCCAGGTTGCATAAGAGAGAAAGTGGCCTGCTGACACCTCCCTTGGGGTAGAGGCTGGTGGATGGATCTCTGTGAGTCTGAGGCTAGCCTGGTCTACATAGTGAGTTCCAGGCTAGGCAAGGCTACATAATAAGACTGTGTCCAAATAATAATAATAATAATATAAAAACTGAGCACAAGGATACCCCTCACTCCCCCTCTCTCCCCCCCACTCTCTCTCTCTGTCTCTCTCCTTCCTGTATGTGGATGAAATATGACCCACCACCTCCCGCTCCTGCGGCTGTGACTGTCCCTTTCTGGATGACTGTGTCACCGGGGACCCAAATTAACCCTTTCTCTTGAAAGGGTTTGGCCAGGTGTTCTGTGACAGCAACAAAACAGTGACCGACACCCTGGTCTTCTGAGCATCCCCTGTGGAAAGAACGCCTGCTGTGCTAGGTTAGATTAGGACATTTGTACCCTAAGATTCGGACCTTTGACCTGCACTTCCATCTGACAAAACCCCCTGTAGTGATAGACATCTGCTATGTTGTCCAGCATGGCAGAGTCACCGGTTACCTGTGACTCTTGAGTACCAGAAATGTGACAAGGTTGTGGCATCAAGGGTTTGTTTTTAAATTTTATTTACTTCTTTTATGACAGTGTCTTACCACGTAGCCCTGGTTAGCCTAGAACTAGCTATGTAGACCAGGCTGGCCTTGAACTCACAGAGATTCACCTGCCTCTGTCTCCTGAGTACTGGGGTTAAAGATATACCCAGTACTATGGTATTGAGTTTTTAAAATGTATTAATTGTGTATGTTTGTGCACAAGTATGCACACACCTGCGTGCACATTCAAAGAAATGTACACTGGTGCACAGGCCACAGCATGCATGTGGCGGTGGAGAACAGTTCCGTGGAGTCAGCTCTTTCCTTCCGCCTTTATGTGAGTTCCAGGGGTCAAACTCTGACTTGCACAGCAAGTGCCTTTATCCCACCGAGCCATCTTGCCAGCCCTAGAATTTTTTACTACCGTTTTGATTCGTTTGAATTTAATTTGGCATGGATGATTGTGGCTTGGGGTCCCCACACTGGTAGACCTGGAGAACCAGTGGTTGTTTATGAGGTTTGACGAGACTGTAGATCTAATGTCTTTAGATCCCGTCCCTCACTCTCCAAGGGGCTCACTATCAAGGTCACCACAGACGAGGCTGCTGGTTCTGGGCTAAGAGAAGCATGGGAAGGCAACAGAGAAAAGCAGAACACATACAGGGAGGAGAAAGCCTGCAGCAAGCTCTACACTGCTGTGTCACGTCTCCAGCCCCTTTGCATGTTCTTGAGTGTTTCCGAATTGCCAAGAGCCCCTCATAGCACCAGAGAGAGTCCCTTCTGCCTCCCTCCTCCCCTACCCCCACCCCCACCCAGGCCTCCATTGTATGGTGAGAGGCACTTACGGGCGATGGTGAAGTTGAAATCCTGACTGTATTTCGACCCACTGGAATCATTGGTTTTGCATTTGTAGGGGCCTGTTTCGTCGGTATTAGAGATCTTCAGGTAAAAAGTCACAGTTTGCGCACTTTTCTTGGTTTGTAGGTGTTTCCTACCCAAAAATAGCGAATAGGTGACATTCACTGATGTGTTCTTGCTGGAACAAGACAGAGATACATTCTGGCCCAGGCTGACCACATTCATACTTGAGTTCAGCTTTGGAGAAGGTAAATCTGGAAAGACAAAAATGACATGGAGATCTTCCTTAAGACCGCTTGACGGGGCTAGAACTGCAACGGAGTGCTTGCCTAGCGTGCACAATGCCCCGGGATAAATCAGGAATGGTAATTCATGCCTGAAATTCCAGCTCAGGGAGATAAGAGTCGGGAAGGATCAGGAGTTCGAGGCCATCCTTAGCCATACAGGAGTTCAGAGGCAAGCAGAGCTTCAGGAGACCCAGTGTAATGGTTAACAATGTCAAGCTGACAGGCTCTAGGACCACATACATAGGAGACCGCCTCTGGGACATCTGTGAGGAAGCTTCTAGACTGGGTTAACTGGGGTGGGGAACGTGAGTGTGGGTGATCCACCAAAAAGGTGTGGGTTCCCAGTCAGAATAAAAAGGAGTCAGGGAGCTAGTGAGCTGAGCATCCATCTCTCTCTGCGTCCTGATTGTGGAGGCTCTGTGACCAGCTGCTTCAGGCCCCGGCCATCACCACTTCTCAGCCGTCACGGGAGCTGTGAGCCCAGTTGACCCTTCTTCCCTGCAGTTGATTCTTGTCTTGATATTGGTCACAATAGTGAGAAGAGTAAGAAACACCCCCTTTTTTTCCAAGGTGAAACAAACACCTCAGGACAATTTTGTTTCCCCAATCCTTTCCTTTGTTCTTCAGGTATGCCAGATGCCACCCGGTGTTGAATTAGGAGCTGCGGGGCTGCGTCCCCGGCACCCAGCCGCCCACATGGCTAGCTTATGCCCAGAAATAATTACACGGAAACTGTATTCTTTCAAATAAACATTGCCTGGCCCGGCTAGTTCCAGTTTCTTATTGGCTAGCTCTTACATATTGTTCTAACCCATTTCTAATATTCTGCGTAGCCCACGAGCTGGCTTACCAGGGAGGATCTTAACCTGCATCTGTCTGGCACGGGAGAATCATGGCGACTCTCTCACTAAGCTTCCTTCTCCCAGAATTCTCTTCTGTCTACTCCGCCTACCTAATTTTCTGTCCTATGAGGGCCGAGGCAGTTTCTTTATTATTACAAGACCCACCTCCATCAACCCGGTGTGCACAGCCACGAGGCCACCTGGTGTGCGCACCCATGAGGCCACACACCCATGAGGCTACCTGGTGTGCACACCCATGAGACCACACACCCATGAGGCTACCTGATGTGCACACCCATGAGACCACACACTCATGAGGCCACCTGGTGTGCACACCCATGTTCCATACTGCGGGCTTGTTTGCTTGCTCCCAGACAAAAAGACTCCTTACGCTATGCTGTGTTTTGGTTTGGCGTTGACCAGGGCTTTTACTTCCCATTTGTGTTGCTTTTCAGGTAAGCACCGCCAAATTTTCTCATCACGGATTATGTTTCCCACAAACCAGGGACAGACCTGCAGCTTTGACTCTCATGACATCACCCACCACAAACCCAGTTCCCATGAGAAGGCCTTTCCCGCTCTATTCCCAGGATGCCCCCAGAGTCCCCAGGGTCTGTCTTGTCTTCCCCTGTTTAATCACAGCTGTAAATTCAGCATTTGGGGGATGGAGGCAGAAGGATCGAGAATTCAAGGTCAATCAGTCTCTACTACCTAGTGAGTTCTAGGCCAGCCTGGGCTACACTAGACTGCCTTCAGGTAAGGCCTCTTAGAATTCCTTGAACTCTATCAGCTATGGCTTTGGTAGCCAGTCTGTAACCTGTATACATACACACACACATATACACACACACACATACACACATACATACATACATACATACATACATACATACATAATTTTTTTGAGACAGTCTTTCTCTGTGTAGCTCTGGCTGTCCTGGAACTCACTCTGTAGACCAGGCTGGCCTCAGACTCAGAGATGTGCGTGCCTCTGCCTCCCGAGTGCTGGGATTAAAGGCATGCGCCACCACTGCCGGCTCTACATGTATATATTTATTGTAAGATGTGTAATATGTGATCCGAGTGCTAATATTAAATTTAAAATTGGAATGAAAGAACTGTGCTAACTGCCAGCTATCAAGGGAAATCAGGACTACTTGGACAATTACAGCCAACAGAACTGACATAGTTTGTGAATCGATCGCTATTCAATAAATCCTGACATCACAGACGGATCAGACAGACACAAACATGCTCAGCCACACTCAGCACTTAAGAGGCCAAAGGAGGAGGATTCCTTCCTATTCAACACAGCCTGGGCTACATAGTGAGTGCTTGTCTATGTAGCAAGATCCTATCACAGCTGGGCAGTGGTGGCACACGCCTTTAATCCCAGCACTCAGGAGGCAGAGGCGGGCAGATCTCTGTGAGTTCGAGACCCGCATGGTCTACAAGAGCTAGTTCCAGGACAGGCGCCAAAGCTACAGAGAAACCCTGTCTTGAAAAACAAAAAAACAAACAAAAACAAAAAAAAAAAGATCCTATCACAAACAATCCATAAAATCAAAAATGAAAAAAAAAATCAAACAAGCCACTTACTGGCTGCTTCTGGAAGTAGAGGGGAGACAGGCTGTGGTACGCAGCCACTCTGACACTCTTACGTGGTTAGCATAGCTGGGGAGTGCTGTTTGGCAGATGCTGTACAGCGGAATAAGCCCGGGGCATTCCCACCTCACAGATGAAAGAAATCAAACTCAAAAATGATCAGCTCGAATGCTGGTGGCACACACCTGCAATCCCAGCACGTGGGAGGAAGACACGCAGAAGGCCAAGGGCTCTAGCAGACCCGAGCATGGTGAACATGGCACCAACAGGGGTTGCTTTTTGCCCTTCTCCCCCATTCCCTCTGCCTTGCTCTATCCCAATTAGCATGCCCAATCAAAACAAACCAATTCATCCTAACACAGGGTTTCCCCTTCTCCCTTTATAAACCATCATTTGCCTATGGGCCACAGCTGTCTCCTCTCTAGCCAGAGGCAGGTCCTTTGTCCCTCCAGGGCAAGCATCCTTTCCCCTTCCTATTCCTTTCCTCTTCTCCTTTGTCCTCTGTGTCCTGTCTTTGTCTATTAATCCCTGTCCTTCCTCCTCCTGGGGCAAATAAATCTTCTTTGTGCTGAGGACTTGGTCTTGCTGTATCCTGGGGGGCTGTCCTTTCCCTAAGAAGGCTTGCTTGGGAGTCCTAGTCCAGCTTTAGCCACATAATGGAGTTTGAGGCCAGCCTGAGCTACATGAGACTCAGCCTCAAAAGTAAGTAACTTATAACATTTATAATGATTATGCAAGGGTTTTCTATCTAAAAAGAAAATGATAGATAGCAAGGGGAGTCGGAAGTTTTTCATGGTAAAAACTGTCTCAAGACTTTGCCACTGAGTTTCAAGGGGGAAAAAAAAATCTACAATGACCCCTCTGGAGTCAGCTCCTTTCCTTCCTAGCAGATAACTGGAGCCTTTGCTCTCGGTTGCTGATCTGAAAACACAGAAATCCTCGTACAGGAATGCGCACGTCCAAAAGCCAGTCATCCTACCGTTCTGAAGAGCATCCTTTTAGGAGATGAGACTTACCGTTTGTTCTCACCCTCTTACAATCCACTGCAGCGTTCTGAACTGAAAGAGAAAAAAAAATGAAGATTAAGAGGCGCTCATTTTCCATGTGATGTTTTGGAGAGCCGATTTTTGTTTGTTTGTTTGTTTTTGTCAGTTTTTTGAAACAGGATCTCACTGTGTAGTCCTGGCTGGCCTGGAACTTTCTCTGTAGACTTCAAACTCACAGAGATTCTCCTGCCTCTGCCTCCCAAATGCTGGGATTAAAGGTATGAACCATTACTCCTGGCCTGAGCATTAATTCTTAAAATATTGAATCAGGCTTACGTGCAGTAGAAAGAAAAATAGCCCAGAGTAATGGTCTGTCCAGCCGGCTCCTCATTCCCTTGAATGAGGCGAGAGAGAGGCACATGGGAGAGCTGCCTGCACCCATCCTTAGTGGTGCCACTGCAGAGTGGGGTGTGGCTTCTGAGAATCCTCTTCCCAACCCCACACAGGAAGTGAGGGCGCTTAGACAAGTTTGCGCAACTTGACCCGTGACTACTTACTTGGTCTAACCAGCCTTCCTGCTACTGGGACACGCACACTCGGCAGCTGCCCTCAGAGAAAGCCTTCCTTCCTCTCTCGGACCTGTTTTGTGACAGCGGTTCTTTTGTTCTCTCTCCCTCACCCCCCCCCCCCAAACTGGGATGGCTAAAGTTAATGTTTTAAGTTTAAATCATTGTGCTTCAGAGATCTATAAACCAAAATGCCTCTAATGTGTAAGCCCCACTTGCCTAAGGACAGACAACTTTTTGGAATGCTGGGGGCTGTTGTTCATGTAAGATAAAAAGACCCTTATTTTCACTTCTGGAAAGAAGTTTGGTTGCCCCAACTACAGGGATGTGTTTGATCACATGGAGGCTGGCAGTACTAGGCAGGAAGTATGCCTGACTGGGTGAATGTGGGAAGTGTATGGCATGGTGGATTTTGCCTTTATGAGCCTCTGACTAATATAATCTCGTGCCAGACTCTGGGAATACTGAGAATGGACCTGATCATTGTCTGTTGTCCCAGCCAGTATTCAATAAATTTGCTTCACATTTGGCTCAAAAGTTGGGGTAGTGGGTTTATTCTTGGCCAGTGGGATTAACAACACCCCCACCCTGTTCCTAACTACCTATAAGGTGAGCCGCAGGCTCCAACACTGTACATTTATGTGGGTGCCAGCTGGGACCAGAGAGAGCATCTGGTCTGTAAGAACTGAAGTTACAGGTGGTTGTGAGTCTCCTGATGTGAGCACTGGGAGCTGAACTCGGGTCCTCTGTATACCAGCAGGCTCTTCTACTGTGAGCCATGGCTCCAGCCCCAGCATGGCTGTTTTGATACTTAAGTTAGTTACATCATTAAAAGGTTCTTCTTGCAAAAAACAAAGCAGGAGGGACTGAGCTGTGTGGTGGTGGCACACACTTTTAATCCGGGCATTTGGGAGGCAGAAGCAGGCGGATCTCTGTGAGTTTGAGACCAGCCTGGTCTACAGAGCAAGTTCCAGGACAGCCAGAGCTACACAGAGAAACCCTGTGTTGAAAACAAAAAAGATGCTTCTTGATATTTTAATTAATTTATTAATATACATTACAAATAATCCACCTGTGGCCTTTACCTGTTTGTGGAAAACAGACCCTCATAGACAGCAGTACCTCCTTCCTTAAGATTAGAAAAGCATGTTTTGAGCATGGGAGATTGCAGAAGCTGAGATAGTTGTAGACAGACTTCTCTGTGTCCCAGCAGCCGCTCCCAAATAACCACACAGAGACTTAATGTCAATTATAAATCCTCGGCCAATAGCTTAGGCTTATTTTTAGCTAGCTCTTATAACTTAAACTGATCCATTTCTATTCATCTATATGCTGCCCCGAGGCTCATTTACCTCCTGGATGCACTTCCCATCCTGCATGCTCTGTGCTTCATGTCATCTCCTCTGGCTCTGCCTTTCTTCTCCCCAGCATTCCTCTGCCCCAAACATCCTGCCTGGCTATCAGCAAGTCAGCTCTTTACTCACCAATGTGAGTAATACATATTCATTTGTATAGAAAGAGTTTTCCACAGCAAATAACACAATCATGAAAGGATCTGGTAGGCATGAGAGTGACCCCTTTCCACTTATTGTGTCTGCCCTCAGGAATGCGTTGACTCCTACCCCACAAATTCACAAATCCTTAGGGACAGTAGCTCACGATGGCAGCTATTATTTCTGGCATGGCTTGTCAACATGCTTTTCCTGCATGCTGTTCTTTAATCCCCTGGAGGATTGTCACCCTCGTTTTACATTTGAAGAAATTTGCTGAGAAAGTTTTGAATTTGTGAGCATCTTGGACACTGGATATTTCGGATGGGGATGCTCACCTTGTGCTGGAAGGACTGTTTTCTGTCACTAAAGCGAGAGGACATGAGCTGGCCACGGTGGCACACACACCTGTAATCACAGAGATCAGGAGGCAGAAGCAAGAGGGCCAAGAGATCAAGACCAGCCTCAGCTGTAGATTGGGCTTGGAGACTGAGACTGTCTGACAGAAAGAATAGGGAGCTGGGGGTGCAGCTAGGTCAGACGGCAAAAGTCCATAACTCCAGCGCTAAGAAAGTGGAGCAGGAAGATGGAAGTTCAAGGCTGGTTTAGCTCCTGGCCAGCGTGGGTTGCATGTTATGATCCTGTCTCAAAACCAAACAGACAGACGTTACTGGAAGTGGGTGGGTGAGGATGCAAGTCAAAGAATCCCAAGCTAACTCCAAAAGATTCCAATTATATTTCTTTATTATAAGGGGAAAACTTATGGAACAGGAACAAGAAGTCCAACCTCAGGTGTGTAACGCAGGAACGAGAGAGAGAGAAGAGAAAGCCCTGGGCAGGCTGGTGGTTTTTCTGTGGGTACCCAAAAGGTAACACCTTAACCTAGTCCAGCCTCTTAAAGGTTATTGGCTGAAGGAGGTTCGCCCATAACCTCCCCCTTTTGTCTAAATGAGAAAGTTTCAAACCCAATTCAAAACTATATACAATAAGAACAGATACCAAGCCAGGTGGTGGTGGTGCACGCCGTTAATCCCAGCACTTGGGAGGCAGAGGCAGGTGGATCTTTGTGAGTTCAAGGCTAATCTGGGCTACAAGAGCTCCAGAAGAGGCTCCAAAGCTACAGAGAAAGCCTGTCTTGAAAAACAAATATATATATATATAATATAAAATTAGGATTACAACCAACATATATAATAAGCAAGGAACACATGCTAAATGTTTTAATAAACATCCTATTCTAAAGAGTCTAAGTCTTGTATTGGAAATGGCTTGGCTAAACCATAAGAGGAAGGTAACTACAACTATCTAATCTCCAACCCTATCGAAGGCCTGAGAAGGGAGATGATATTACTTGAGCAGGCAGGAAGTGCAAGCAAGCAGCTTCCAAAATGTGCAGTATATGACAGAGACAACTGGCTACCTAAGCAATTGCCCAAAGTCTCACTTGCAGTGTTGAAGCAACCAACTTTGGCTAAGGACTAGAATAACTGCCAGACCATTTTCAGAGGCAGGAAAAATTTCAGAACTGTCTTACCCTGTCTTGGCAAGGTTTGGCAGTCCTTTTCCTTGTGTCCTGCTTATCCAGTCCAGATACCATGTACTTTATCAATGGTCAAAGCATGGGCAGTTCTTTGCCCAAAGACCAGTTGTGCCAAGAAGAAAACAAACGCCGAGTGGAGTGTCTTCAATGCTCAACATTCTCTCAGAAATAGATTAGTGCTGTCAGGAGCAATTGTGTCTCACATCAACAGAATCTTAAGTTATTTAAATGTCATGTTCTACAGATCTTTCAAGTGGTGGAAGAGTACCTATCTATGTATCTAAAGAACCTGATTAATCTGACTATATGTATAACAAACATGAATAACTATTGACCTATAATACTTAATACCTGTATAACTTAAAGACTAAGACTTTTTATCAGAATATTAAATGGGTTAAATCAAAATATAAGAGTTAGTCGAGTTGTGAGCCTGCCACAGAAGAAGCAAGATGTGATTACCTTGCTGAAAAAGGTACTGAGCCATGTGGCTAGCATAGACAAGAATAATGGGCAAATATAAGTTATAAGAGTTAATAAGAAGCCTGAGCTAATGGGCCAATCAGTTTATAGTTTAAAAAAAGAGTAAGTTGATGCCAGGAAGTGGTGGTGTGCACCTTTAATCCCAGCAGTCAGGAGGCAGAGGCAGGTGGATCTCTGTGAGTTCAAGGCCAGCCTGGTCTACAAGAGCTAGTTCCAGGACAGACTCCAAAAAGCTACAGATAAACCCTGTCTAAAAAAAAAAAATAGCCAAAAGTACGCCTAAGCTATTGGCCAAATAGTAATTCAATTAATATAGTTTCTGTGTGATTATTTCAGATCAGGGCCACTGGGAGTAAATAAACGCCAACACCAACGAGGTCTAAAACATTGGGCCTGATGTCTGCCACCCACTTCAGGTCCAGATGCTTTTGTGGCCACTCAGGATCGGGAAAAAGTAGCTGAAACCATGCCCTCAGCTCAGCATTCCCCGCCTAGGCAGGTGGTGGCGTCAGGACTCGAGCAGGAGAGCATGTCAGATTCCTGCCACCATACACAGATGTTTCCAGGCCGCATACTGCGCTACACAACAGATTTAGCTTTTACTCATATAGAAAGGGTTTAAATGGGGCCGGAGAGATGTCTCAGCGGTTAAGAGCATTGTCTGCTCTTCCAAAGGTCCTGAGTTCAATTCCCAGCAACCACATGGTGGCTCACAACCATCTGTAATGAGGTCTGGTGCCCTCTTCTGGCCTGCAGGCATACACGCAGACAGAACACTGTATACATAATAAGTAAATAAATAATAAAAAAAATATATAAAAAAGAGTTTATATGCTACACAGTGCTTCCCAAAGTTAAGGTGGTGAGCGTGGTTCCCACCCCACAGTCTCAGAGGCAGTGAACATGCCTCAGCCATGTTGGACTGGGCAGAGCCAACAGGCAGGGCCAAGTTGGTCCTAGCCATGCCTATTATTAAGTATTCTTAGTTATTAAGTATTCTTTAAATCTTTCAGAGACCTTCAGAATATGACATTTAAGATTTTTTTGTTTTTGTTTTTGTTTTTCGAGACAGGATTTCTCTGTGGTTTTGGAACCTGTCCTGGAACTAGCTCTGTAGACCAGGCTGGTCTCGAACTCACAGAGATCTGCCTGCCTCTGCATCCCGAGTGCTGGGATTAAAGGCATGTGCCACCACTGCCCGGCCCATTTAAGATGTTTTAATACCTTAGGACTTTTCATGATATGAGACACATCTGCTCCCGGCAGCACCAATTACTTCAAGGGGAAGATGGGCATCGAAGAGACTCCTTGTGGAGTTTGCTGGCCATTTGGGTGGGAGACTGCTCTTGCCCGGACTGCCTGATGTTATGCTGTTGTTAAACT